GTTAAGCCGTGGGTCTGATTTGCATTATGGCTGTTTTCTTGTTGAAAGGAGTAAGACTTGGAAGTATTGGAAGCCTCAGACGTTTCTGGGCCTGATGAGCTGAGTGGATGGAAGGTGGTCCTGAGTGGGTGGGCTGGTTGGACCAAAGCATCGTGCTGGGTGTCTGCTGAGAGTCTCCACAGTTGTGTCTGTGGTGGAGACTCCTCTGTAGAGGGTAAGAAGGGCAGGTGGACGTGAGACTCTGGAGTTACCTCTCTGGGAGAAACTGGACACAGTTGCTGGTCACCAGTGAGGCCTTCTAGATACCTACCATCTGCCCAAAATGGCCAGAAACGGGGGAAATGGAATCCATGGGTTTTTAAAATCCAGAGTTAGGGGAACTCCACCCGGGAAACACAACCCCAAGTAAAGTGTGTGGAAGCAGGATGTTTTAATTGCAAACCTTTCTTGAGAACCAGCTGCGGGGTAATGTTATCTTGGCTGCTCCTGCAGCCAGAGGAGAATTTATCTGGGCCCCTGACGCAGGCCCCATAAACAGAGCTGGCTTTCTCAGATGACCTCTGCCCTGTCCCCCTTTCCCTCCACCTGCTCTTTCTCGGGGGGTTATCGCTAGCATTTCCAATGCTGGCAGGGCCAGCTCCGAGAGGCTTGAGAATCTAATGTGGGTGGGGGGTTGTGTGGGTTGGGCTGGAATTTTGCATATCCATTGCTCATCTGGAACGCTAATCTAGGATGTTCAAGGTTTGGAGGAAAGCAGATGAGCACTTGAAAGAGGCTGCCCAGATGAAAGAAAGGGGTCTGGAGATGGTGTTCGGACCTCTGGGCGTCTGTTTCCAGGGAGGTCTCTGATCATTTCCTCAACTCAGGATTTAGACGGTTTGTCCAGGAGGGAGGCTGGGGGGCCTCTGGTAAATCCTAAAGGTTTGGGAGAACCTGGGGTGAGGATTCATTTCCACACCACCACACCGGAGTCACTTCATGCTCACTTCATGCGCAAGCCTTTGCCCAAAAAGGAAAGAAATGAGTTTTGAGGGGAAGCACGCCGTGTTGTAGCCTGGTGGCTGTGGCCTGCAAGGGTCACGGGGCAACTTCTGCCACCCTGCCCTCTGGCTTTTCTCCAGAGGTTGTCTTCGGTGTGGGTTCAGGTCAAGGGTTAAACTGAGATGGTTCTCTGTGAAGGGAAAGGACTTTTGCAGGGGGCGGGGCGGGGGGTGCTCTGGTTGTGTGCTGGTTAGTCCTAGCCTGGAATTGGGAGGTCTGGGCTCCTGTCTCAGCTCTGGTTCCAATAGGGTGAGCACACCTGCCATGGCAACCAGCATAGTGGGGCAGGCCCGCCAGCCCCCAAGCTTGTGCCTATTGAATAGAGGAGGAGCCTGGGGGTCTGAGAGGCTGGACTGAGGTCTCACAGCCAATAGAGATGATCCTAAGAGTAAAATCCAGGTGTGACTGACTCCACAGTGTGTGCCTCTTCCTTCGCAAATCACCATCCTGGGTCTGAGTTTCCTCTGCAGTTGGGGAGACCTCCCAGCTGCCGGAGGCTGGGAGCCTATAATTAATTCTCCCTGGGAGGTTAAGGGAAGCCCCTAATTACTGAAGAGGATGGAGCGTGGGTCGTGTTAAGCCCCAGTTAAGCCCTTCCTCCGGGCCCCGCTTGGTTGGCCAGGGAGAAAGGCTGCTGTCTGCTGGCCTGCATGCTCTCTCCTGGGAGGGCACTGCCGCTTGGGGCCTCCTAATAGTGTGTCTGCCCAGGCAGGGGTCAGGAAGGCAGCACTTGGCCATGTACAGTATCTGCTACCTGCCCAGGACCTGCGGGAAGGGGAGATGCAGGTGGGAGGGGAGATGTAGCCGGCAGGATTCAGGGGTCAAGGAGTCAGGAGTCAGTAGGGGGATGGGATGGGTTATGACCCCGGTGAAAGCCCCAGAGCATCGGGCCACAGTCAGTGAAGCCAGTCGTGTGTGAGGGTGTCCTCTGCATTTCTCTGGTTTTGTAGCATTCCTAACCACTGACTTCTGTCTGGGCCCTGAATTCTGCCTCTTCTTGCTCTCAGAATTGACATGACGCCCCCATGTTCCTCTAGGTCCATCCCCGATGCAAGGGGCACACAGACTTTTCAGGCCACCCAGAGATTTATTAAGAAAGGTGTCTTTCAGTCCTGATTAAGTAGTTCAATTTAAATATCCATACTCTTAAATTTACATACAGGAAGGTAGTCCAGTGTGGTTAAGAGCATGGTGATTGGACTCGGCTGGACCTGGGTTCAAGTCCTTTGCTCTGTATTTTACTGTGTGACCTCAGGCACGTTATTGAGCTTCTCTGAACCTCAGCTTCCTCCTGTACAGAATGGACATAGCAGTGGTAGCTATGTCGTAGACTGAATGAGCTAATGCGGATGAGTGCTTTGTGCTGCGCTGGCCTGAAGTGGCCACTACCTGAATGGTTCCTACTATTAATTGTATGAGGTATTTGTTTATATATCATCTAAAGCAAAGCACACCCCTATCTATTATAATCATAGTCAATGGTTTATTTTGGGTTTGTGAAGATAGGGATGGCCTTTCCCTTTACGTTCTTTCTTATCAGGGTCACATAAAACATGTCATCAATACCCCACATCAGTGTGGCAACCTTCACTGTCTGCTTTGCTTTATGGCTCTCTCCTTGGTTTCCCGTCACAGAGAACACTGCCCTGAGCCAGGCGACCTCTCTGAGGGGGCTCAGGGGGGTGGGGGGGTGGAAAAGGGTTGGAGGATTCAGAGCTTGTTTGCATAGAGGTTAACTGAGTAGCCCCAAACATGAAGCCCCATATCCCTGGGTGCAGAACACTTGCTGTGGTCTGAACGTTTGTGTTCCCCTAAATTTGTATGTTGGAGCCCTAATCCTTGAGGCGGGGCCTTTGGGAGGTGATTAGGTTTAGATGAGGCCATGAGTGGTGGGATGAGTGCTCTTAGAAGTCGAGGGAGAGACTAGAGCCCCCTCTCTCCACCACATAAGGATACAGCAACAGGGCGACCATCTGCAAGTCAGGAAGTGAGTCTCACTGGAAACCTTGATCTGGGACTTCCAGCCTCCAGAACTGTGAGAAATAAATGTCTGTTGTTTAAGCCACCGAGTCAATGGTATTTTTTCATAGCAGCGCGAACAGACTAAGACAGCCCTTCTCCAGGCATCCGGTGAGTTCAGCTATCCTGGGGCCAAGGGATCTAAGTGTTCCTCCTCTTTGCTCACATTCCTCCCTTCTCACAGTGGCTGAGACCCCTGGCTTTGCTGGCCATTTTCTTCTCACAGGTGGAGTCCCCCAAGACCTACTGAATCCTAATCACTAGGCAAGTGCCTGGAATCTGAGCGTTTATGAAGCCAGCCAGGAGATTCTGATGGGCACCCTGGCAAAGGGAACCACAGCTGTGGGAACAGCCACTCGGTCTCTTGGGAGGGAGGAAGCAAGGCAGGGGTCTCACTGTGCCTCAGTGCTGTCCCTTAACCCCAGAGAGGGCACAGCAGGCACCAGAGGGGAAGTTCAGCAGAATGGCCCTGAAGAGGTTGAGGGGACCCCTCCCTCTCACTGAGCCCTCCCCCAGGAGGGTGTGCCTTTGGTGCGTGTTCAGGTGAAAGGGACAGCAATGGTAGCGACAGTAGGCCAGATTGTGTGGCAGGGGACTTTCTCCTTCTCCAGTCAGCAGGCCTGCCCACCTCCTGGGCCAGGGAGCCTCCCAGATTTGCTTGAGGCAGCAGCCTCGGAGAGCCTGAGCCCCGGGAAGTGGGGTGACATTGGGAATGGGGTCCTGGAAATGCCTTCATTTCAGACAAGTTTACAAACCTTACATGGGCTCACTTCTGTCCTACAAATCTGCCCCTCATCCAGAGGGTCCGTTTGATTGTTCATAGCAGCAAAACGCTTTCTGAACTCCCACTCCGGGTCTGTGTCCGGCCCTGAGCTAAGACGTAGGGATACTGGGATGAATTGCACATCTCTGAAATGCTTATGGTCACCTGAAGTGCTTTTCGGAGTTCTGAGGATCAACCAAAGCAGAAGTGGTTTGTTAAAAAGGATAGATGCCCAGTTTTAACAGGTGGTGGGAGAGGGCAGGGGGTGTATGGGAACTCTCTGTACTTTCTGCTCAATTTTGCTGTGAACCTAAAACTGCTATATAAAGATAAAGCCTTTAAGGGGCGCCTGGGTGGCCCAGTCAGTTAAGTATCTGCCTTCAGCTCAGGTCATGATCTCGGGGTCCTGGGATTGGGCCCTGCTCAGTGAAGGGTCTGCTTGTACCTCTGCCCCTCTCCCCTGCTCATGCTCTCTCTCTCAAATAAATAAAATATTAAAAAAAAATAAAGCCTTTAAAAAACAAAATAAAATAAAATGTAGGGGCACCTGGGTGGCTCAGTCATTAAGCGTCGGCGTTTGGCTCAGGGCATGATCGCAGCGTCCTGGGATCGAGCCCCACATCGGGCTCCCTGCTCTGCGGGAAGCCTGCTTCTCCCTCTCCCACTCCCCGTGCTTGTGTTCCCTCTCTCTCTGTGTCTCCCTCTGTCAAATAAATAAATAAAATCTTTTTTTTAAATAAATAAAATGTAGATGCTTGAGCCCTGAAACCCCAGATCTACTTATGCAGAATTTCAGAGAGTGGGGCCCCAGCATCTGCAATTTGGGAAGACCTCCTGTAGAATCTCATTCACTGTAAAGTTTGAGAACCAGTGGAAATTTTTGACAACCCCAATGTATGTTCATTGTATAAAATACATATAAATGAAAACCACTTGTACTCCTAATCTAAGATAATCATCCTTAGCAATTTATTGAATATCCTGCTAGATGTGTGTGTGTATTTGAATAAATGTGTATAGCATCTGTGTGGTACCTGACACACTGTGCTGGGTCCTGGGGACAGAGGTAGGAATGGTCCTGGCCACGGGGCACCCCCAGTCATGGTAAATGGTGCCTGGTACAGCTTGAAGCTCAACCTTCGTCACCCACTCATTTGCTCTTACTTTTTCTCCACAGGTGTACATCATCAATGTGACCTGGTCCGACTCCACGTCCCAGACCATCTACCGGAGGTACAGCAAGTTCTTTGACCTGCAGGTAAGTTGGTCTGAGCTCAGATGGTACCCAGTTTCACCTGCAATGGCCTGAGTCTCTGGTGGGCTGGCCTCTCTCATGTCCTCATTCATCTGGAGAACCCCTGTCAGAGCGCTTGGGGTCCGCGTCTCAGTCAGAGCAGAGGGACAAATAAGGAAACCTCGCCTGTCTAGCTGGGTCTTGAATATTGCACGCAGTATTGACATTGCATGCAGACACCAGGCTTTGTGGGCTCCCTCTGATGGTCTTAACAGTCAAGCTTTGTCACCCTCCTTTGCCTGGGGGGTAGGAAACCAGGGTGGAGAGGCAGGAGAATGGCTGTGGGTGCTGTGTGCATGAGCAGACATGTATCTATAAACATCCAGGGTGAGACACAAGCCACTACGTCATTGCAGACAAAGAAAAGCAAACACACAGGAGAGACAGAAACAGAAAATAAGCAGTGTCCTGAACTACAGACACAAACTGGGCATACCACTGTGTCTGTCTCGCTGAATAAGGCTCGCACCGCCCTGTTTGTACACGCGTGTGGTGTGTGCCGCTCTCCAGTATACACAGGCATGTTCACACAGCTCCTCCTGCAGACACCTCCCTTGACTCCAGCTAACTTGGTTAGACCTTTCTGGGTTACAAGGGATAGTTTTACACTCCTACTGGCTCAGACAAATAGGAGACTTGGTTGGAAGGGGATACCAGGGAAGATACGCAGTTGACCAGAGGGTGAAAAGGAGAGTGAACAGTGGGCTCCAGGAACACCAGAAACCACAAGTGCTCTCTCTCTCTGTGTTTACTTTCTGCTTCTCTCTGGGCACTGTCCTCAGATTCCTGAGGAGCGTGGCTGTCAACAGCTCCCGAATTTCATATCTGTTGGCTCCCAACACCAGAGAGATTGATTGACTCTCCTAGTTTCAAGTTGAAAAATCCCAGGGAAGACTTGGATTGGCCTGATTTGGGTCAGGTGCCCTCTCTGGACCAGTCAGTGTGGCCCCGGGTAGAGGGTCACAGACATGACCAGCAGGGTGCCTAGGCCTCTGTATCCGAGTCAGGCACCAGAGAAGGCAGAATCACCGTGAGAAACCCTTCCTATATCAGGAAGGGAAGACAGAAGTTCTAGATTCTTTTTTAGTGCTATAAGCCTGGTGTTGGCCAATAAAAATACAAAGAAGAGACATGCACTCCTGGCCCTTACAACCAAGGTCCACTCCTTCATTTGCAGGCTTTTGGTGGTGAGTCATCTTGGAGAGGCCAGGCCTGCATGTTTGCTCCTAAGTACCTGACTTTATCCCATTATCCTTATCACTCTATTTATGAGATGAGCCAAAGATGAGCCAGCTTCCTGTATTCCAGTAAATCCTGTCTTAATTCAACAATATGGGGTGGAAAGCCACTCCTTACCTTCCTGCCTCTTCCTCTCCTCCCCTCCCCCATTCCTGTCCAATCTCCTTGGGTCCTTCTGGTATAAGCTAGTGGGATTTGCTGATACCCCATCAATGGGTGTAGTGTGCTGGACAGGAAATGATAAGTTAGTTGGGGAGAGGGAATCCTGAAAGGACTCACTGATGAACCAGAGAGGGTCTGTGAGCCAGTGGAAACTCCCAAATCAGAGCTTTTCTTCTCCCCTTTCTGTTCTGGTCCCTCCCCCCGTCTCTTTAGTTACAGAACCTCACGAGAAAGGAATGCCGCTCCCCCCACTTCTTCCTTCCCTGGAGGGCTTGTTTCCTGTGTGTTGGGACACACAGCATGGAGCATCTTGTGCGATGTGCTGGCTCTCGCCATGAGCATGGCCAGGCCTGTCTACATGGGTCATCGCCACCCTGTAGATGCAGTTTGGAAAGGGGTTGGGATGGTTGTTTGGAATTTAACCTTTGAGCCAAGCATAGCATCTCTGTGAACCCATTTTACAGAACTCAAGACATGATGACTTTCAGTGGTGTTCACGTTGGAAAGCCTTTCTTATTGGGGTCGCTGATTTTTAGTATGGCGGCTCCTATAGAGGAAGAACGAATGGCATTGCTAACTCTGTCTCTGGTCTCTGGTGCCCTCGCAGCTGGCCTTTCTGAGTGGCTGTGTGAGAGAGTGGCTTAGAGCTTAGGCACTGGGGACGCACTGTGGCTCTGTCACACTGTATAACTCTGGAAACGGGTCTTAACTTCTCTAGGTTCTGTTTTCCCATCTGTGGAATGAAGATTTGAATAGTACCCACCCAGGAGGGTTGTCGTGAGGTTTACATGAGCAAATCTACGCGAGATCTTTGTTAATGGACAATCTCATGCACACAGCAGGGCAACTGGCCCTGAGGGGGTGGCAGGTCGGGGGAGGCAGGAGCGGAAGGACTGGTGCTTGGAGGAGAGATAGTGTCTCTTTGATGTGACCTGTGGCATGAATGAGTCCTCTGGTGAAGCATGGGGGAGCTAGCTCATTAATGGCATTGGGGAAGAGAACCCACAGATAAGCCGGTAACTGCGCATTCTACGCTTATCTGAAGCCTTAGGACTTTACAGAGCTGGTCATTTATCTCCCTACTCCCCTCTCTCCCCTGTGCCACCCACACTTCTTACTAACTGGCTACCTGCTCCCTTTGAGGCCCTGGAGCAGGGTCACCAGATAAAATAGGAGATGTCCAATTAGTTTTGAATTTCAGATAAATAATGATTATTATTATTTTCTACTATAAGTGTATCCCAAATATTGCATGGGATATACTTATACTAAAAATGTGATTCCTTGTTTATCTGAAATTCACATTTTATGGTGTGTCCTGTATTTTCACTTGCTAAATCTGACAGCCTTAGAGTGGTGAGGGTAGACGTATAAAGATGAATAAGTCAGGCTGGCTCAGGGTAAGAGTGGACTGGCCTCCAACATATGTGTGCTTCTGCAGGACAAAAGTGGCACAGCCTGAGGAATGCTAAGTTGAGAAGGACAAGGTACCTTCCTTTTAGAAGTCTGGTGGGGGAAGTAGATTTTTAAGCAATGAAGTCCACTGGAGATGAAATAGACACTAGATTGAGGGACAGGCAACATGCTATGGAAGGAGAGGAAGGAAAGAGCATTTCTCTTGCGGGGGGGGTGCACAAAAAGGATGCCTGTATGGTTCTTTTTTTTTTTTTAAAAATTTTTTTTTTTTTTTTTGAGAGAGAGAGAGAGAGAGAGAAACAGCATGAGAGGGGAGAAGGTCAGAGGGAGAAGCAGGCTCCCCGCTGAGCCGGGAGCCCGATGTGGGACTCGATCCCGGGACTCATGACCTGAGCCGAAGGCAGTCGCCTAACCAACTGAGCCACCCAGGCGCCCTGCCTGTATGGTTCTGATTGGGACAACAGCCTGGAGCGATACAGCCCCACACCCCCACGTCAGTTTGGGGGTCTTTGGTTGTTTTTTTGAGAATTATAGTTATCAGGGTAAAGGATGTCCCTAATTTGTTTATTCATTTATGCTTGTATGCCTGCCTCCTTCTATCCATTGGTCATTGTCTGTCCATCCATCCGTCCATCCACCCACCTACCCACCTTCAGTCTGTCCAATCTAAGTGCCTATCCTCTATGTGCCAGGCACTATGTCAGTCTCTGGGGATTTATTGATGAGCAAAAGCAGATCTAGTTACGCTTAATTTATGGGACTTACCCTTAGTGAAATAAGATGGGTTTTAGTTTTAAAAAATTGCTTATATATGGGACTCCTGGGTGGCTCAGTTGGTTAGGCATCTGCCTTCGGCTCAGATCATGATCCCAGCGTCCTGGGATTGAGTCCTGCATCAGGTCCTTGCTCAGTGGGGAGCCTGCTTCTCCCTCTCCCTTTGCCCCTTGCCCCTGCTTGTGCTCTGTCTCTCTCTCTCTGACAAATAAATAAAATCTTAAAAAAATTATGTATATATAATTTTATACTATTTCAAATGCTACAAAGAAAACTACCATAGAGAAGAAACCTTATACTCTGGGATCAAAGCAGGCTTCCCTGAAGAAGTAAGTGGTATCTGACAGATCAAGGAGTTATTTTCTCTCCTTTTTGAGATCAGGGATTCTTTTGTGCTTCTAATGAAAGCAAAAGACTCTCTCTGCAGACAAAGGCATGAATGTATATAAATAATTTTAATAACCTTTTTGGTCATTCATACCCCCCCTGAAATCCTCCCAAGGGCACCAGGATAAGACCCACTACTCTGCTCCAAACCTTCTTCTCTCCCCGTATCTTCAGCCTTCAGCCCCAGTGGTTCTGCATCCTCCACACACAAGGGGCTGTGCGCTGAATACGGCCCCTCTTCCTGCCCACTGGGAAGCACGGCTATGGAGGCTTCACACCTGGGCTGTTCACTGTGCTAGCCGCTAGCCACATAGGGCTATTTACATTTACATTTAAATTAATTAGAAAATTTTAAAGATTAAATTCAATCAAGTTAAATTAATTTTTAAGAATGAAATTAATTGGCTTTCTTAGCCACATTTGCTGTATTGTAAGTGCTCAGTAGCCGCAGTGTCTAGTAGCTACATACTGAGCAAATGGAGAACGTTTGTATCATGACTGTGCTGTTTTAAACCATCTGGGACACATAGCAGGCTTGATCTGGCCTTACGCCCGCCCGGGAGGGCACTGCCACCCTCCCAGGCCCGTCCCCCACTGCCCTCTAAAATCTTTAGGGCCCTGGCAGGAGGAAGAAGACTATGTTCCACCATGATCTGCCCGATCAATAGAGCAATTCAGTTCAACGGCTATTGCAAACACTTCTTCTGGAAGCCAGGTCATTTGCTAGAGAGGGCTTCGAAGGGCATTTCGAATGTTAAGTTGGGAACAGGGAGAAGAGAGGTTCTTGGTCTCCAAGTGGAAATTGATTTCTTCTAAAAATAATCCACCACTCAGCCTATCTGACCAGGAAAGGGACGTGTCCCGGAGGGAGCTGTCGGGGACAAGGCCTGATGGTGAGGCCCGCTTGGCCATAAGGGGCTTGGATTACTTGGAGGTGCAGTTAAGGGCAGGAGGACGGTAAAGGGCCGCAGATGCTCTTCAGTTGC